TAACTCGTGAAAAACCACAAAAAAAAAAATCGGTTGATTGGAAAAAAAGGTGTTTAATAAAAGTATTTTATATATAATGTATAAACCTACACCTAACCTATACATAAGAAGGAAATGAACGAGAAAAAACCTCAAGAGAAAGTGGCAGATTAAATTTTCCAACAGTGGAAACCCGTCCCAGATGGAAAATCCAATTAATTGCGTAACCATCGGTTCTTTTTCCGGTCATTCGTAACTGCAGAGATAAATTTTTTTTTTATATAATATATTTATCGATTTACATTATTACTCGACGCCGCTCGTACCGTTTTATTTGGATCGCGGAAATCGTCGCGTGAAATAATAATTTATAACGAAATCTAAAATATATTAATAATAATATAGTCTTGTTACTTCATTGCCGTTATAATTCCGACGGGTCAGAGCAGGGCCAGGTTGTTAAAATATGATATAATAATATTATAACGATAGTAACTATATATAGTTATGTACTTATATATAATATTTTATTATTAGTATGAAGAATTTTCGATCTCTATTCAAACTTACCCTATTCGATTTTACTCTATGGCTATCTAGGTATATAATATGTATTATATTACGCTTCACACCTATTATTGGATAGGTATACTGGAAGTATGATCTGTCGTCCGAAAATTCCTTAATACTGGCCGAATGATATTATATTGTAAAGAGAGGTGCTGCAGTACACACGGGGTTATTTCTTCCGTCACTATCAAGCCCCACGGAAACCCTCGCCCACCCCTAACAGCACGCAGACACGTCGCAGTCACAATAGACGTTAATTGTCTGTGACGTTTCCACTGCTGCCACGTCGGATGTCACAGGGTTCTGCAGTGCACGATGGTGTGTGATGTATAGATGCAGGTATATTACTAGCGCATTATTATAATAATAATGATAATAATAATATAGTGTATATTAACACCAAAACGAGGGTGGCACCAAATAAATATAATGTATATATTTATGTATAAGTACGTTGCATTATAGAAGCGAATGACATTGTGTTTTATGTGCGTTCCGTTTGAATAAAACAAAACCTCGATAGGTATTATACCTACCTGTATTATGTACTTAGATGCCAGGAATTAAAGACAAACAGCACTGAGAGGTGTTAAAACCGCATATTGCAGTACCTATACTAAATATTCCCACCTGCCAACTAAGTAGTCTGAGCTTTCCGTAATAGGTGATCGTTCGATACCAAGTGGAATGTCAATGTATATAATAAGATATGCATATTAATATAGTTGGCACTAAAATATTACGTTATATATTTATTTTTTTTTGATAATTACATAGGTACCTAATTCAGCTATTCAAGCCCGATCAATATATATTGTGCATAGTGTAACGGGAAAACAATAATGAGGATTTAGTCGATTTAGATACATTTTAAATCACAGTAGGCATATTTTCAGACTTGTTTTAGATTCTGAGTGGAGAGTTTTTTTTTTTGTTTAAAATTATAAAATTTAAAACAAGGATTCTCTTGAATAGTTCATAATGCAACCAAAAAGTCTAAAAAATATATAAACACAGACATTTTTACAGACATTTTAAGTTCGAATTTGGACGAAATTACATATTGAACCAAGAATACTGAATAGAGGTTTTAGATATTTTGTTATAATTTAAAAATATCATTAGTGGGTACTTGAGACTTTTAGAGTACGCATTATTATAATGTATACCTACAGACTATACACACTATAACATTTTCAAATGCAATTTTTTTGGCAAAAATTAATTTAACCTACAGTAGTACTAATACCTAGTTTAATAAAATAAATTATTTTAATCACAAAAATATCATACAATTTACTTAGTAATATTATAGGCTGACAGACAGTCTTTTTTATAGTTTAAAAATTGATTGTTATCAAACATACTCGCACGCACGTACAATTTCGCAAGGACTTCTGAATAAAAAAAGTACTAACAACCTTTAATAAATGATTTTCTTATTTATCTGTTTGGTAAAATAATTGAATCGACCTTCCTGAATTAGTGACTGTTCCTAAATTGTATTATAATCTGAAACACAAACTGGGGTCTGGGAAAAACGTATTTAAATAATTGAACGCGAGAAAATTTAAGAGTATTAGTAATTAGTATACCCATTTAGTATATACATTTTGCATGATGACATGATAAAAATCTATATTGACCATAATATAGGTACTTATAATATATCAATATATATCATCTAAACATCTAGACTAAATCACGTTTAAAAATAATATTAAAACTTGAAAAAATAGTTTACTATATATAATATTTAAAAAATATCTGGAGAAATTACAGTCAATTAGTTTTCGTTAAATCATTTCTAGTTTTAACGTTCCTTAAACCCCATTTTTTCTTTTTTTCTTATTAATACGGCTGAAATTTTGTTTGCTTTAATCTTTCTTGAGAAAATACTGCCATTTAAACAAAGTACGAGTATCGAAGTATGGGTAAAAATGGATAGGAAATCAGTATTGTCATCGATAGATGGACGTATATAATATTTATTAGCTAAGTTTTTCATAGTACCTATATGTTTTTCATGTGACAAAATAATATAATCATAGCATATAATATTATATAGGTAGGTACTCATATCATTATATAGTTTAATTCAGTTATAAACAGCTCCCGACTTCCGAATACAATTACCAGCTGTAATAGTCTATATGGTAAAGCAAGAAAATGAAGGATAATCGTTTTTTATTCTGATGCAAAATTAACTAATTTTTATTCCGAGCGTCCTTAAGAAAAAATAGGTACACATTTGTGAAACTATAAAAAATCACAAGGTTCAATTTTGCCATAATTTATGAAAATTATCTTTAGTGTTGTAAATCGTTATGAATATTTTCTTTTTGAAAAAATACCTTGATCACTACTGTCCTAAGTGCCATATTTTTTTTCAATATTAAATAAATGTTCAAAAATATTGTTCATGTCTTAACTGTAATGTTACTGTATAATGGATTTTATATAGATTGTTATTCTATTACATTAAAAAATATATTCCTTATTGATTTAAGTTCATCATTAAAAACTAAAAAGTACGTGAAAGCCAATTGATTTCATGTCATTATGTTAACAAGTCCGCAATTACGATATTACATTATTTTTTTACAAAATGTCTTTACCTATAATAACGTACAATTTTATCTAAAAACTAACAAAAGGAATTCTCTGTTACATAACCAAAACAATACTTAATATTTAATGTAGGCATTATTATAAATGATTTAAATTAGACCAATTTGACGATAAATTATTTTTAAATATTATTCATGGTTATAGCGTTGAAAATCAAGTGAACGATTTAATATGGAGTAGGTGTATTTAGTTATTTTATATAATCTAGAAACGACATTTTACACGAAATAAAGTGTAATTTGACTTATATAAATATTATTTTACTCAATACCTAGATATATAATAATATTATGTTCACTACAATATATGAATCAAAATAAATGTGTGCACAAGTTTTTATTTACCTATTCTGTTTATTAGGAATGCGCCTATTGCACTGATTCGACATTACTCGCTTTTCTCATAAATCATAATATTAGGTATAGGCGATTATAGGCATTTAAGCTGCGGTGGCCCACTATCCTACACGAATTCAAGTCATCACCTGTATTGAATCGAACGAGTACAACACACTCAAGTGTTTACGCATATACATAGAGGTTTACCAATATAAGTATTGTATACTTATGAATTTCGTTAAGATATCATACACATCATGTGAATAATAAGTTTTTACAAACACAACGAATAAGCGATTATAACCTACCGCAGCCCCGCGCACGTCGAAAAGTTATAATATTATTATTATTATTACTGTACGGTCACGGAGCTGTGGACACGCGCTAAGTCAATAGATAATACAATATATTATACATATAGCAATACTCTTAAAGTATAATAATGACTCATAGGCGCAAATTGGGGGGGGGGCTTAGCCCCCCCCCCAAACTTAGCCGTAGCCCCCCAAAAATCTACAAGTTTATAATGCTATAATATTATAAATGTGTACAGTTTTTTTTTTTTTATGTTTAAATAATTTTTTTTTTTTATTGATCTTTATATATAACTCGGCAGCAAAGGCCATTAGTTAATCTCTTACATATTTAAATAATATTATATATTATTTATGTTATTTATAAAATAAAAAATTATCACCGATCTTGTAGAAATTAATGTATAATATTATTTTTATCCTATATTATTTGGAATTATTATTACATTGTGTTATTATTGTTATCACGTCATGATCGCGATTGTATATTATACTAAATGTATATTTAGGTACCTACCTACTTCATAATAAATAATTATATAAGATACTCTTTACTAAACCCACGATGCTAGTAACAGGCGATAAGCCCGCATAATATTTGACATGACGTGTCATTATATAGTTTATTCTATATTATATTAAATGTTTATTTTTATTGTTTTAAATTCGGCAAACTAGTGGCCAAATTTATAGACGATACTAAGATTTTACTTATATTCAACTTTGCCAAGTAAATATTTTTCACTAACTCACAAGTGGTATTTATAAAGGGTACTAAGTTATTTCTTAGCTAAGATTTTTCTAAGAATATTTCAAGTAAAAATATTTCTTAAAAGCAAAATGTTCGGGAGATTATATATAATTTTATTGTTATCAGCATAATTAATATTTTATTGAAACAGATTAGCTGTCTTATCTGTGATAATAATATCAAATATTGCTAATACGATTTCTTTACATTACCTAGTTTGAACCTGGCCATCTGCAGCATAGATAAAAGATATGAAGACTATGTAAAAAATTTGCATTTTAGGACCACAAACAATTTGAACATTTAATGACATCCATCCTTTTCGATTTCTATACATTTCTGCGTTGTTGCCTCCGGGACTTTTAATAGGGACATGTGTACAATCTATAGCTCCAATTACACCAGGAAATTCACCAATTAAATAAAATTGTTCCTTAGTGTCTTGTAAATTTGATGGAAACCGAATCCATTTTTTCCACATTTAGCTTGTAATCCCGATACTTCTTTAACTACAATAGAAACCGAAGCTTGTGAATATCCTAATGTATCTCCATTGACTCTCTATAAAACAATAAAATAAAATTAACAATAATCTTACCATAATTACTCATTTAAATTGCATTCAAATACTTGGTCATTTCCACTTGCATAGAAACGTAGGGCAATTAACACTTTTGTAATATTATCGATTTTTAACCCACGTCTATCAAAATTGCAATCCATATTATCCAAGTACCTATATCATAGATAAAATTATTTCTAACACAATATATTTTGGAAACCTAAACCGTTGGAAAAATTGCAAATCTGAAAATCTAGTAATGTTTACTAATAAATATTTGTAAAGGGGAATTATTAAAAATATTTCAAAATTACTTACCCTTCAATGGAGTTTTGCATATCACGTAAATATCGTTTAGGAACACGAATAGTTTGTTCTAGCCAATCATAGTTTAAGTCATCATCAAGATAATCAAGATAATTAATATCCATTTTAAAATAGTAAAAAATAAATTAAACAAAATTATCAACTTTTTATAAAAGATCGAACAACAATTTAATAGTATAAAAGTAACTATTTTATACCAAGTTATTAATTTTGTGTCTGTTGAGTGACTGTTAAGCATGGTTAGTAGGTACCTTAGATATTTCTTAATTTTTACTCAAGTTTTTCTTAAAATTATTCAAAGTACCATTTATAAATACCAAAACTTAGGATTTATTTAAGTTAAAATATAACTAAGATAATTCTTAGTAAATATCATAAGTCTGATTTATAAATACCAATTTCTAGTTTTAGTTGAGATAATACTAAGATTTTTCTAAGTATCGTCTATAAATCTGGCCATAGGTCTTTCCCTGCGACCATTTAGTGCGCCTATCTGAATTCTGAATGCATTTATATTTTGGTTACATATTATGGTTAGGTACGTAATTGAGTATGCTAAGACCAATAAAAGGTTACAATTATAATTTGTTGTTTGTTTATATTGATTGATATATAGGTATATTGAAATTAATTAATAAATGTATTACCTACTATGTTGTTAAAATCATGTTATTATAAGTCACACCCCCACTTGAAAATTGAGGTAGGTCGACCGTAATAATGAAGAAAAAAAATTTAATTGGATTATGAAGTAATATTATAAGGTAAGATAATATGAATGGTGATGGTGGGGGGTGTGGGGGGCATAGCCCCCACGGGTCTGCTTGCCCTTAATATATTCAGCCCCCCCAAGTCAAAAGTTGAAATTGCGCCTATGTAATGACTGCAATATATTATATTATTTATAAAGTCTGAAATATTATTATGTATTACCGAGAATAGTTTTTGGCTGCATCATAATATCATTGCAAGTCACATCATATTAATATATTACACTTTTGCAAACATCATAATAATATAATATAATGCATATAACGATGTTTTCGTCTAAAATGTCAACAAATACTGCAATATTACCATATAATATAATATATACCTAGGCAGAGACTAAAATATAATTTTTTTCGTACTACACATTTTATATTAAAATTTTAGTTACCGCGAGGGGCTTTGCCACCCCACCCAAAAAAGTGTATTGAATCTATACACATAAACAATATACATAGAGTAATCAATTTCTATTTATCTTTATCTACAGAGTACAGACTACATCGAAAGTTAACGATTTATGTCCGTATATTGGTACGATAATTAATTCTGTATATAATATTGCAATAAATGCACAGAACTATAATAATACTATATACAATACCTATTATAGACAGTGAATTGCTAAATAAAAATCCCCGATTCTAGGAAAAAACATCCTAGACTTCAATATTAGGTACTCACATAATCACATGAAATTGATTGATTAAATGTTTTTTAAAAGCTAATTAATGTAATTACCACATTGTTAATATTTAATTATAAATAAACACAAGGTTTAGGAATAGCTATATCATTAAAAAAAAGGTTGTATAATAAACATAGTGTTCAAACATTAACAATAACATTATTTTGTTTTTGATTTGAAACAACATAGGTAAATATGTTAATGGTTCTTTTAAAAAAAAATATAGGTAAATACATTCAGTAACTATTGTTTGATAATTATTTGTAATTTGTATCGATTATTCGAAATATTTTTATTTGGTAATATTTTAAATATTGTACCTATAAGTAAAACTTGTAAAATCGACTCCTAATAATACGTAATAATTATTATTAATATTTAAAATTCTCATCTATCTATTCCCCAACTAAACATCAAATAATTTTTCAATTAACGAAGAAAAAAGTGTAAAAAAAAGCTATAGTAGTTATTACAGGCCATTACACACTTTTTAATTTCGTATTCCACACTTAGTATTTCGTACTACACAAAGTGTGTCGTACTACACACAATTTTAGTCCCTGTACCTAGGTGTTTGTATATTATATGGGAATAGAATCGTCATCGGCGACCGACGTATAAACAGCCGGCCTTTCGCCGAGACGTTTACTTCGACAATGATTTATTATAAGGTAGGAACACGACTTGCGCTGCGCGTGCACGCGTTACATTGTTTTTTTTTTACGCACATAATATATTATATTATGTGCCACGCCGTCGTCGGTTCATCCGAGTTTACTCCGCGAAAGCAATGATTTATTTCACTTTGTCGTCGTTCTCTTAATTTTTTTCCCCTCTTGGCACAGAAAAACGCAAATATTATTCCGATTTCATGATTGATAAAGCGGTTAAATAAAAAAAAAAAAAAAAATGAGGTTAAATTTCTATTCTTCTGTCTATGTGAATGTATAATGTCAACGCGGTTTTACAACACGCGAGTGGTCATGATAATATTATTATTACTGTATCGTAATATTATATGGTTGCGATGTGTGTTTGTATACCTATATATTATATACGCGGCACGTGAAAAAAAAAAAAACGAAAAAAAAGTCTTTGAAAGTCAACTGTTGAGCCGCGTAACGTATCATATCATATTATATACCTATATTATATTATATTATTATACGATATACACATAAGTACCTATGTGCGGCACATCGTAAATTATTATGTACCTACTCGTATATAATATATAATAGCCTCGGTGCACGGGCCCAGCCGTCGTGACAAATAGGCCGCCGGACTTTCGTATGTTATAATATTGGGTTCAGACCTTGCAACCTGCAGAGCAGTGCCATCGAATCGATTAAACACGTCGTTAGTATAGTATAGTCCAGTAGTAAAATCGTCTGTAGCGATGATAACAATTATTATAGTACAATATATTTCTGCACGCTCACACCAGCTCGGCACCTGTCGAATGCACGCGGGTTTTCACGTACAAATAACGCCGCCCACTCCTATATAACACCTAATCGAAATAATAAAACACACGTCATAATAATAATAACAATAGGTCACAACCTTAGTAGATATTATAACATAATATATATGTATATTAATATAGAGATATTGTGGCTGAAGAATGAATATGATATACAACGTGCAGTGTGCACGCATTGAGGCGGTTCTACCGGACGCATCTCTTGGACAAATCAAACTTAAACTGTACTCGGAGTGTTGTTAATATTACTATAGGTACCTATGTCCTATATTTATTATTATAATCTCTCTGGCGAGCGCGTGTCTCCGAGACCGCGATCGGCATTTCTTAACGCCGACGACGATCGCCGACCGTCTCGCACTCTCGCCTCCTCCTCTTATTTAGCGGTATTACATTATAATAATATTATTATTTATATAGATCGCACCGACTCGCCTGGCACGCCGGACACACGCTCACCACGCCACCGCACAGTGTTTTAAAATCGAAAATAGCTGGCCAAAAGTCTATTTTTCTATATTTTTTTTTTCCAATTTATAATTACAAATAAGTTCCTTGCTTAAACAACCAATACGATCGTATCAAAAAAGTAATGAAAAAAAATGTATTCATTGAAGTATTTAATGGTGAATGTGTAAATATACTAAATTTTGTATAATTTTGATAAATTATTGAATTTGTAATATAAAACATTTTGTTGATAGAAATTACTATTTTGACTTGATTCTTCAAATTTAGAATTGTTATCTATTATTATAAAATAATTCGACGATCAATTTAATAAAAGTCGATATTAAGGGTCTTAACTACGTATCATTACGGAGGTACCTACTTATCTAATCGTATCATTAAGATAATGAGGCAACTAGTTATATTTATCCACAAGACTCCCCTTCCAGTTATATGCCAAATTAAAACACACATTCTATACATTAATACTGCGTTAAATCTAGCTGCCCGAAGTTGCACATTTTAATTTAAACTGTTTAGTTTCAAAAATATTCAAAAATTACCTATAAATTCTCAATTATAATTATATACCTAATTAAAAATGCATACAGTTAATTATCAATGTACTTACTTAACTTGTACAATTATATGTATAGTAAATATTTGTATATTTAAGAAAACAATGATTAATATTATTTTTATGATAAACATAAAAAATTAAGAATTTAAAAACAAATTAAACATAATGGGTAAAAATGAAATAAATGGTGGAAAAGTAAATTATCATAAATCATAATATGAAATTACTCAATTGAACGATTGTTGAAAATAAAATAAAAATTGGATATTTTTTAATTTTGGCCAGCTATTTTCGATTTTAAAACACTGTGCGCCGCCCTCGTACATTTGTTTTCGTTATTTGTGTAGCCCATTATGATATATACATCGCGCGGTAGATAAAACCCGATTTATATGAGGCACGTGAACAAAATGCCAACGCGAAATGATAGCGCGCATGAAAATATAATTTCGGACTATATTATATTGTACTGAAGTAGTGAAGTAGATAATATGCGGTATTATACGTCCATGCGATTCCCCCCCTACCCATTGAGCGGTAAACTCATATTATAACAATAAAAACGTCGAAATTCCCTAGGTATTTAAATCGCCCAGATGATTCGTTTGACGTTTTAATTAGATAGCAAGGGCCATGATATTGTTCAATAGAATTATACGTCTCACTTATTCATACACTTAAAAAATTATGGACATTTTATAACAAAATATATAATAATAATATATTATAAATGAATATATAGGCACGCCCAATATTATCCTTATTCTTACAGCAGTTCGACAACGAACTTCCTCTGCGAATGTGTTCAAAGAGACGCTTGAATAGGCTTTTCGTATTGAGATAATTTTATTGAGAGATACCCACGAACTGATTGTCACTGGAGTCTGCATTCGTGCAGTGACACACGTGAGCATAACGGGTCCGATTCGCGTAGCTTCACGGGAATTTTTTCTTCTCTTATTTTCTTCTTTTATTTTATTTTATTTTTTACCTCATTTCTTCATTTTTTTCCCTTGTTTTTTTTTTCTGTTCTCATTCCTTCATGTTGGTTTCGTGTTATCAAACACACACAACGCGAGATGACCCGGTGCAATGGAAGAATATCAAGCCACGATTCTGACCGGACCCGCGTGATCGAGATTTATACTCACACGCGCACGCCGCAGAGAAGACACCCCACAGTGGTTGACCGCTAGCGTCATCACGAGCTTCAATTTTCACACTTTTTCGTTTCTTTTGCAGTGTACTTATCCGCACGACTCGGGACATTTACATAAACGCGCGGTCGTTACAATAATATAATATATATCCTATCCCGATAAAAAAAAAAAAGCTATATTGTAATATGCTATAAATGTGTATACCTACCTATCCTTACATACCAACCTATAATGCATATAACCATTAAACGTCGTATTTGTGAGAGTGTGTCGGCTACTTAAATAATAATAATAATAATAAAAATACCCAAAACTACAAAAGTTTAGTAAATGCAATAGTAGAAATAATTTTATGTTGTCTTCTCGTTATTACAAAATTGATCTGAAAAGAAAACCTAAGAGTTAAAATATAAGATACGTGCGTATGTACTATGTGTGTAATGTGTATACCACGGTATGAGTCAAAGAACAAATAAGAGCGTAGAAGACTGTCAACGAGAGCGGCAGGCCACCGGGATAGCGAAAACTATTGACCGTTTGTAATGATTGTAATGACACGATGACAAAGCGAAAATCTTAAACACCTCAAGTTTGGAGTAACCTCTACTGGTGAAAGACAACCTCCGAACATCAGTTTAAACTATTTGCATCGGCTCCGAGTTCTTTGCATATTATATTACTCATAAAATATAAATATCCACATAAAGTCCTAAATTAAAATTGATTGACTAGGTAAATAAAAAAAATATTAAAGTCTATAATATTATACATTATCCAAACTTACATTTAATTTTGTTATATAGAACGAATTATTACAAATATAAAGAAGTAAATACCAATAATTATAGAAGTTATACTAGTGAAATAAGAAAAATAATTTAGAAATATTGTATACAAATATATTATCTACTCATGGGACGAACAATATTACTTTTAATAACAATATATTTCTGTAATAATTCAGCTATGCATACCATTATGTGTCACCATTGTATACAATATAATTATCAGTAATTCTATGCATTTCATTTTACTTTTCCTGGCAGAATTTAATAAACGAGTAATTATGTTTTTTTCAGACGAGGTGAATGACACCGTGGAAGGGATTATGATTGGGATGGAGCTGGGTTTGGGGCACCATGGGGGCTCCTTGCACCCTCACAATATGCCACAACATCAGAATCAGATGCACTCGCAAGGTCTTATGCATCAGACACAGCAGATGCACCACGACGATGGTAAGTAGAAATATACACTGTATAATATATTATAATTTATAATACGCACTAAAATCATAGCCAATCTAATAATTGTATTATTACTATCAATAGATTATTATTTTGTATAAAACAATTATATAATGCAAATTAAATTAGTCCACTCGTCATTCGTAGTTGTGTCACGAATCCTATATGATATAATATTATGTTGCAGCTTTAACTATTATTGAGTTACGTAAATACTGTAGGGGTATACACTAACTACCTATTCGGGTAATTATAGGCATACCCAGATAAAATATTTTACACTTGACTTAAAAGTTAGTCAACAGATACTATTTTTGAAACCGAATTTAGGTTAAAGCTGCAGCGATGTATTCAAACCACGAATAGGTTATGACTTATGAAACATAAACTTCTTGTGGATTTTTATTTTTTTTCAGTGGGATCGGGAAACATTAGCAGCAGTAGCGGCGTCAACGGTTTTTCACAAGAAGGTAAGTGCAAAAATAAAACATTGTAGATAAATCGGTCGAATATTTTTGAGTATAATTTAATACGTTGCGTAGCTCGTGATGATAATATTATAATATACCTAGTCCAGAAACGTATATTCCGGGAAGTGGTAGAAAACTAACAACGAAAAATCAAAAAATAAATAAAAATGTAGGTACACATTTATAGATTTCTACGAGTGCCCACCTTAATAAATTCTATTATAAAAGTTCTTGTATGACTTAGTTTGCAATAAAGTTAGTATTCTACCCCGAAATATATTTATTTTGTTGTGTATAATACCTATATGTACAATATAACTTTTAACAGTCCCACGAGTCGGGATATAGCCACGGAACCTTATGTTTCTTGACGTTTAAAGTTAAATATAATAGCGTATATTATAATGGTATTGTACCTGCGCAGTGTATAATACCTATCGTATAATAACAGGGACGGACTGGGACAACTATTCAGCCCGGGAAATCTATATTTTGACCAGCCCTCACCATTTCGTCATCACTAAATGTAAGAATTAAATATGGTACCAAAGTTTTAACAAATGAGGGTTGCATCCTCTACTCATCTTCAATTTTCTCAGGAGACAACTTAAGATTCTCAATGTGTTTAGTATTTTATCTTAATTACATGTACTGCATAGTATAATGTATCACTTTCTGTGGATGAAAAACATAGGTCGTTCTTACTACTTTAAGTTTTAACTTGATATTTCTAAGAGTTATCCTTTCTCTCTCTCTCTCTCTCTCTCTCTGATTTTCTCAACCCTACCATTTCTTTTAGTTTCCATTTTAAACAACAAATAGATAAGTAAATATTACAAAACCATCAAACAACGCACTAAAATAAAATAAAAAAAAGTTCAAAAATTCACTTTTTTGAATTAAGAATGTTCCATTGAACGTACGAAACTGTACCTTTTAGTTATCAGCTTATGAGCTGATTACCTATCAAATTATCACAAATTATTTTTTATATTTTATTATTATGTAGGTATTATATTATATTATATTTTTTATTGTGTACAATTTAATATTAAGTATTAGGTAATATTAAGTGAATACTGGCTGGCTAGAAGTGGATATATTAATCGATTGGTTTAATAAAGTCATATTAAGTTATAAATAGGGCATGGATATAAATACAAGAAAAAAAACAAGAAAAATGTCTTAAAAATACGATTTTATGCACTAGTTACAATATTACAAAGCTTAATAAAATGTCCAGAAAAATTAAAAGCCAATTTAAATGAAAATAAAATAGTTAGAACTTAAATAAGTATAGTCGTTAAATTTTGTATTTCATTATATCACTGGTCAGTCAGAAGCTAACTAATATTTTCAAATAAAAAACTTCGACAGTTATAATTGGCAAGTATTGTTTTGTATAACTGAAGTCATAGGAGTAAACATCAGACGTAATAAAATAGAAATATTAGTAAAAAAAATTGATTTTTAATTACATTAAATTTATTGAAGGAATTTAAGCAATAGTGTCTATAAAATTGTATTTATACTTATAAAATTTACGAAAAATTCCTTCAAACCATAAAAATGTCAAAAAAATGTTCTAAAAATCAAAAAAGTTAAAAAAAATGCTAAATAAAAATTTCATTTTTAAATTACTTTATGTATGAAAAACATTTTTTTGATTGGAAAGCCTGGATGTTTAAGGAAATGTAGAAAAAAATTCAATTTATATTTAAATTCACACTAGTTATAAATAATAATTTGTGATTATGCATTGATGCCGAAGGGCTGGTCAATCAGCTGAACCGAAACCTAAAATCTTTTATCTTATACTTACACCAAATATAATATAAATAATTTTTCACACTCAACTGTTATGATATGAAAATACAAAATATTTTTAATATATATTTATACCTACCTACTGATTTTATTATAAATAAATAATAATAACAAATTATTTTTGAGCAGCGGCCCACCGGGAAAGTTCCCGGTATCCCGCCGGCCCAGTCCGCCCCTGTATAATAATAATACAATCCAATCGTAATCTCCGGGCCGGGCGGTGATCGATCCGGTCGATCACGACTAATGTAATATAGCCGGGTGAAGGAGGCACGCGCGAAACATATATTATAATATTATTATATATCGATGGCATAGTGTACACATGTTGTAAGTGACATTTTTGTAATTGTTCAGGAGAACGACAATTGTAATTTCACATCACGCAGATTACATGCACTACAACAAACGCGCAGACCTCTAGCAGACTAAATATGTACTATACGCTTATAACATTTGTACACAATATGTAGAAAGTTGTCAGCAATACAGCCATGCAAAAAACTCATTTCTCTGAATTTTGCACTTACAACATGTGTGCACTATGCCATCGATATATATAATATTATACCGCAGTCTATAGACCTACGTAGTGATCCCTCACTAACGCTTATATTTTGAGTTTGACGACGTTGATGATTGAGTAGGAGAAAAGGTTGCAGAGTTACAAGTTACAACGTTATAATTTAAGTAATTTATTTTAAAGTTAATAATAATATAATGGTATTACATTTGAATATAGAAATTTGAGGACAGAGCGATAAGCGTCTGCCCGAGAGATTAGTGGTTAATACTAATTACTTACAAGTATGTACGTCGTACTAGCACTGAACTAATTCTAATTTAGATACAGACGGAGACTCGTATATATACAAAGTCTCCCTAGGTTATTAGGTACACGGTAGAGACTCGGAGGTGGATCAAAGGAATACCGGCGGTATGAAAGGTACCGGCGTAAATGTTAAAAGTTGTCGAATAAACCTTGAGTTGTGAACTGGTTTATTTGGCAATATGTATTATTAGAAATCGTTATGCGATTTGGAAATATGTAATAAACCTCAGGGCGTGGTATAGTCGTTGATCAATATATCATATAGTGCAAAGTCCTTATGATGTATAATTATAGGAAAGCGACTCTGTCGGTTTACTACACCTACGTTCACGTATAAAATAATATAAAAGGCGGCCGATAAATTGTCGTCGCCGCCGCGTATGTTTGTATGTGCAGTATACCTACACAATACACATATCTATTTTTTAAACAATATATTATATGATTTTACACACGCAGAGCCGTAGCAATGTTCATTAGCGCTCCTGGCCATTTATCATATTTCCGCCCTCGTAAAATTGTTTTAACCCCCCCCCCCCTCACACACACACACACACACACACACATATAAAAGACTTATGCATTCGTTATTTTTTTTTTAATAGTAAAAATTATAATATTAATAAAAAAAAAACAATAGCAAACACTGCCAAACTTATTAAAACCTTATAAAATAATCAAAAAAAAAATTATTTTTTACATTTATAAATTTCACTTTTCGTTCTTTTTTGGTAGTATACAATTAAGCTCCATTTTAGAAGGTTTATATTTTTTTTTTTATTAAGATTAATATACTAGTACGTATACCACACTTGCGTTTGTTGTCTCCGTATTACAAACCTACAACATGGCAAATTTTCGTCCACTAGCTACCTAGTTTTAATAATGTGCTGTTAGTTGTTATATCAGAGTGAATGGTGACGGTCAATTATTAATATTTACTATGGACCTATTATTAAACTTTTAGTTTAGAACATTAGTTGTGCTTAAGCGTCGGCTTTTATTCGATATTTAAGTTTCCAAGCAAGATATGAAATATCACAAATTAAAAATTCTCTTATCCCGCATGAAAATTAAAATATGGAATAAAAGCATACGCTTAAGCACAGACAATGTTCTTAACTAAAAGTTTAATAACAGGTCAAAACACTCTAATATAAAAACTCACAGCACACTATTGTAACTAGTGAACGAATATTTGCTATATGTCGCTCCCATGTAAAACCGATAACAAAAGGATGGGTAACGTCCAGATATAATTTTAAAAAAATTAAATAAAATAAAATCGTTTAAAATGTAATTTAAGAAATAAATTTATATTTTCAATATGCTAAAATTTTTTTAGAAAAGAAAATTTCTCAGACTCATTAAATTTATGTTTAATCATTAAACTGAATTAAAGATATTTTTTTATCGATATCACTATCAAGCTAGTTGTCCAAATTACTCTATAATAATAGTAATAAATATCTAACCTTAGATTATCAAAAATAGTCAGTAGGATTAAAACAAGTAAAATGAAATAGATACTTGGCGTGAACTGTGAAGATAATTTTTAAGACAATATTAGACAAATATTAATTATTATTTCTTTTTCTTAACTCCAAATAAGATTTAGAGGATTTTAAATTAATTAATCAATTAATTGAATAAATGTTTTTTTTTTTTTAAATAGGTGAATGGTGAACAAACTATCTTAATGTTTATACATTATTTAAATTCAAATTTGATCGATAAAAATCAACGAATGTTAATAGTGACTTCTTGTATAGGTACCTACTAGATATTTAGTACCTATTTACATTCTTATAAACAATTATTTTGTATAAACCTAGGTTACAACTTAATACATTAATACATTATACATTAATATAAACATACAACTAAACTATCAACACAAATAAAAACACAATATTATCGGCTACTAACTGTTCTTAAAATATCATTCCGGGCCTAATATTACGTAATATTATGACGAGTTATTATTCTTAAACACTTGTAAATGATAATTGTAATATTTATATAATATACAATACCTACAAATAGTATATAGTCACTAATCACTATAATGGACTTATAGTAATAAAACTATTTTGTGCATATTCTAGTAAAATGTAAATTATTAAGAATACCAATAAATAATAATACCATATTACCATATATTATATATATTATATGGTATATTTTATTCTGGATTTCTCGCCCCTTTTTCGTTGCGCCCCTGGCCTGGGCCAGTCTCGCCAAGCCCTAGCTACAGCTCTGTACACACGCCGTGTTGGAAATGTTGGAATATTGTAGCATAATATAATGGAAATAACGTGTACGCCCTGGAGTGTGTGTGTGTCCGTATGTGATGGACTAGACACG